CACTTCCGAATTGTCCTATTCTTCTCTATTTCTTTAAAATGACAGCGTTTGGATTATTAAAGAAAGTACAAGAAGGAAAACAAAAAGGAAAAAAGAAAGCAACTAGGAAAAGGGACCTTCTCCTTGTCAGCACCATCCCTCTTCTTCTTCTTCAAAGATGCTAAAATGAATCTAGCAGAGTACACTAAGGTGAAAATCTAGGGAAGGGCAAAACCCACCATCATTTGAAAGACTTGCAGAGGATGATGATTTTAGTGTCTTGTTCTTCCAAGAACCGCTTCCAATCGAAATGTTATGCAAGGCTCTGCCTTTTGTCCAGTATCTGTAACAAGTCTTACAGAAATGCCTTGGTTGAGTAAGGCTATAATTACTATTGTAGCAAAACTTAGTTTTGGGTGAGTCACATCTCAGACACTTTAGCCCTTACTCTACTTATATCACTGCCTCCAAGATGCTTTTCTAGCCATTTGAGCCAAGCCTCTCTTTTGTTGTTGTCATTACTGCCAACGGATTGACATGGTCAGGAAGGAGAAAAGGGTGAAGAGTGTAATCTCCTCAATAATTAATATATATCTCAAATTCTCACTTAATTCAAGGTTAGCTTAAAGAAATCAAGTTTGTCAAACTCACAATTGAGTTATAATGATGGGATCCCAAGCTTTCAAATTTCAAAGCATCCCAAAAGATCTTACAATTGACAAATCAAAGTATAAATATTATGTAAAAATAGAGGATCATTTAAAGAATTAGTGCATTTGCTTAGGAATCAAAAAACAAAAGAATTCTACAAAATTTGAGGCATGCGTTGCGGCTCATTGAACATGCACCACGGCACATTGCATGTTTCATGATAGAAAAATTCTGTTGTCAAATTAATAACTTTTTAGGGTAACTTTCATCGTGCCCCATTTCTCCGTTCATTATCCAATTAATGCAAACTAGGTGTCTACAGAAAGCATTTTCCAAGCTCTAACTAATAGCTTTAGTTTCATACTTAAATTATTTCTCATTCGAGAATTGGATACTCATTTCAAAATTCTTACTTTTTCATAACTTTTCACAAAACAAAGTGTCCAAAACACATACCACAAGCCAAAAGCCTCAAACCACATAAAACAGACTAAAACTAACATGTGCAATGCACCACAACATATATAACACTTATAAATCACATTTTCAATGCCCAACCCTTTAATCTCAAAAACAAAAGGGGGAGCTAAAATCTCACTTTTCACCTAATAATCCATAAAATCACAAGTTATAAGCATTTCTTACTTGCACTAATATTTTGACCCTACTTTAAATATCACAATTCACATACATACACTGAAGGCCCCAAAATACACTTTACAATTTATAAAACACATAATGCAAGTAAGATCCAAGATGGAAAAGTCTTAGTTGGCATTATCAATCATCATATACACATGAATACCCAAAATAAAGAAGGCCTACTAATAGGATGACAATCCTATGCCCCTAGCTATTTTCCTCTATCCAATCCTCTTGAACTATTTCCTATAATATTGAAAATAGTGGGGTGAGTACAATCACTCAGTAACCAAAGTTCAACTAACTCATACTAATGCATGTCAATTAATTTAAATGCAAGTGACAATCTGATGAGCAATTTCAAAACATAGACATATTCCAAAACATACCTCAACCCTTTTCATTCCTAATAAGGTATACACAAGAGATAATGATCAATATTGAGTCGTAAAACAGATTTCAAGAGTTTACATCCACATTCTCATTCACAATGATACATACTCATGACATATTAACCAAGTTAATGCTATTTCACAAAGAACAAGGCTTTCACATGTTTTATTACATTAGGGTCACGATATAACAACTATGTGCCCTTTTTTATTTAATGTATGATCATACCTCCCTTATATCCTCCTTATTCCTCTAATACAAAATCATAGACTTTCACACATTGGGTTCATCTATACATTGAGACTACCCTAGCTAAAACACTTGTGAGAAGTTACCTGGTTAAGGTTTCCCGTCTCACTTATGGATCACAGTTTCTCCTATTTTCTTACACTATGAGATGCCATCCTTTCTAGACCAGTTTCCTTGTTGAACAAGTGGATAACTAGCTAAGTTTGAGTCTCTCATTGAACTAGTGGGACAATCCCTCGTTGAATAAATGCGCGACAATATGTATATAAAAAATCTAGACAAGCCATCACCTTGGATAAAAGCTTTACCATATGGATTTAATTCTTTACTTTTCTCCCTAGGCGAACTCCCGCCTCTCATAATCATGCATGCATCAATACGCAACTGTCTTATAGCATGCAAACATTCATTGTACAAGCATGCACTATATCATCATTGAACTCATTTTTCAAGTGGTTGTGACACATCACATAACAATCAATTAGTGAACTCCACATTCACACTCATTGAACTCCACATTTTTACAATTATTGAAATTTCACATTTTTGCAATCATTGAACTCTGAATAATTACATATACTCATAAAACTCCATTAGCACATACTCATTGCACTCTACCAAAACACATAATCATTGAACTCTTATAATAATTAATCATTGAACTCTCATAATAATTAATCATTGAACTCCCTATCAACAAATACATCATTAAACTTGAAGGAAAAGCTCATCATAAAATCCACTAACAATGTTCATATAATTTTGCATATAACATATCATTAAACTTTTGCAAAATCATCATAGTGAATTTTCAAATAATTTCATGCCATACTTGCGTTTCATTTAATTTCACACATTTCAATTACTAAACAATAAACTAATTAACACACAAAAGCACAAGGTAGAATTCGCCCGGTTACCTTAGACCTTTAAGAGGTTAAAAGTTTCATCCCTTAAATACTCACTCTAAAAGCTTCCAAGAAGCTTGAATGGTGAGAAAATAGTCACTCTACAATTAATCACAATATAATTCATCAATATCCAATTTTTGGATAATTTTTACTACTAACTCAACACTTCTTCACTCCTAAGATTCATTTTCTACTCATATATAAAAATACCTATAAGGGTTCTTAGTTTCCTTTAACTCATATTAACATCATTTAACTCTTAAACAATCATTAATAGAGCCACATTACCCTAACTAATACATTTATGGTGGAATTTTGTTCATTAATTACTCCCTAACCACCAACCATCATAACACCATAAATGCTAAGTTTCAATAGCTCAAACAACTCTCATTAACTCTATCTAAGTTAATAGGTTCAGACTCATAGTCTATGTGAACCGAAAATTATCATTATCAAATAAACCTTAACTTCCAACATTAAGAAAATGGAAGAAAGTAGGAAGATTTAGGCCTAGAAGGCTTACCTTTAATGTTCATGAGCTCTAAAATACTTCAAACCTTTAAGTCCTCAAAACCTTAACACTGCTCTTTCTGTTTCTCTTTGCCTCTTCTTTGTTTCTCTCTTTCGTTGCATTAGTTTCGCATTCTTATTTTGCAGAAAAATGGCCGTGCACTGCGGTTCATGGCATAGATAAGTCCTCCTTAAGTGTATCAGCACCCATGCACCACAGCGGCCTATTCTCAAGCCACGGTGCGTGGCACAAAACCTTATTCTTCATATTTTCTCCTTCTTTCATGTCTGGGTGACCTGACTTCACCTTGGACCTGCGTTTAAGGCTGAAATTACAACCAAACACACCTATTAGACTTCTCTGGCCACACACTTCACTAATAAACTTAATTACTCTAATCAAGCTTAATTAATCAAGACTAAAAATTTAAGAATGTTACAAAGAAAGGAGAAGTATACTAGTCTTATGAGGTTGGAAAGATTCAATTTGTTAGTTTCCTTTTATTGAGAAAAACATCCTTATCAGATTAATTGAATGAGTTCATGCATGGTGATGGACGAAGAAGAACTGAAGATGAGCGAGGGTGCCAATTACTAAGAAGGAGAAGGGCGACAAGGAGAAGGTTCCACTTCCCAACTGCTTTCGTTTTTTCCTTATATTTTTTTTTAATAACCCAAATGCTATTGTTTTGAAGAAATGGAGAAAAAAAGGACAATTGAGAAGTGGAGACACCCCACACCCATATGGCATCTCACTTTTGGAAAACTCTTTCCAACTTTTCAAATGGAAGAAGTTGTTTAGATATACCTTGTTGTCAAGAAAGACTTTCTTGGAAGTACATTTAAATGGGTTTGAAACTAAATTTTATCAAATGAAATATTTAGACCTTTTATATGTGCACTTGGGATGCAAAGCAAAGGCAGCGTCTGACAGCTTGGCATGTGAAGGCAAACACACAACGGATTTCTCTTTCAGGAAAAAAAATACAACAACATCTATCACAAAAAATATAATAATATAATAAATATAATAAAATACAACTTGAGTTATTAATTACATTAAAAAAAATTAAATGATCTTATAAAACAATAATATAGGAAACGTAAAATAAATAAAATATTTTGAATTTAAATATTAATACTAGTGATGAGTCAAATTAGGTAAACGAATTTAGTACAAAAATTATTAGATAATGGAATTCCTATTTTTTATGATTTATCACTACTTTTTATTTAAAAAATTATGTTAAACCACTAATATTCTATTATTTAAATTTTTTATTACATTTTTAAACATTTTTAATTTATTGTATTTATATAAAAAAATTACAAATCATTCTAAATTAATGTCTTTTTTAGACATTTAAAAACATATTTTATTATATTTAATTTAAATAATTTTTAATTTACCAAACTAACTTTTTAAAAAATATATCTAAATATAAATTTGATTATAATAATTAACTTTTATTAAATTAATTTTTTTAAATATATTTTTGATAAACTAATTTTTGAAAAAAAAAACTACACAATTAGTTTGCACACTTTTTTATGGTTTTATTTTTTTTTTTTTGAAAAAATAGCTGTGTGTTTTTCTAAAAAAGTTGTTTTCTAACGCCGTTATTATCAATTATCAATCGTTCCTTGAGCCTGAATGTCGATGAGTTCAAGACTGCAGAATCATTGAAGAAGAGTCCCTGCTGGGAGTAGGTGGCAAAAGGCGGGCGGGTAGTTCAGCCTCGATAAATCCGCTCACTTACCTACACTAGAAAAAGGAAGAGCGTCTTCCACCTTTTCTGCAACTGCAAGCGGTGGCGAGGGTGGCAATTTTCAGATCCATCCAAGCTATCTCCCATTGCTTTCTGTATCATCCACTTCAACCAAAACACACTGGGAGAAGGTGAAGCTCGAGATTGAAGTTCTAAATTTGCTTTCGTTTTGATTTCTGATTCCTAGATAGTTCATGCATATGCGTTTCGTCTCGTTCTGATATATTGAATTGAACTGGGAAGTAAGGAAATCATGTTCTCCGTTAGACCCATTTTCCGGGCACACCAAAGGCCCTTCTTTTCTCTGTTGCTCCATTCTTCCTATACTTCCTCTGCCGCTGCAATTCAGGCTGAGAGGACTATCAGAGAAGGCTCCAGAAACGATTGGACACGAGAGGAAGTAAAATCCGTATACAACTCTCCCGTACTCGATCTTCTCTTCCATGGAGTAAGTAAGCTTCACCTTCGAATTTTTGTGTCCTGGTTATTGTTCTCCAAATAAAGGTTTCTTTGGGTTTGTGAAAACATTAATAGATGATTAATCTTCTGATGACTCTGACGATACTGAGGCAAATTTAAGCTTTTGCTGTCCGATTCTGAAAAGATGGGTATGTGGAGGAAAGTTTTTGAAAGACTAGAAATTGATGGCAAACTCTTCTGTATTGAAGTTGTGTCCTGAAGCTTATCCGTCTTGACTGCTAACTGGGTATTGAACAGCAATTGCTAGCATTGTACTGAAGCTACTTTTATGCTCTATCAGGCTCAAGTTCACAGGCATGCTCATAACTTCCGAGAAGTACAACAGTGTACTCTCCTGTCTATTAAAACAGGCGGATGCAGTGAGGACTGTTCATATTGTCCTCAATCCTCAAGGTATGACACAGGACTAAAAGCCCAACGGCTAATGAACAAGGAGGCTGTTCTTGAAGCTGCAAAGAAGGTTTTTTCCCCCCCTCATCTTTCGATTTGCATTACGTTTCTGGTTCTGCAATTTTGCTCGTTTATATCTTTCTCTATGCCTGGCATATAGAAAACTTAAGTTCTTGCTTAAAACCCCTCGCTCCTCCAAACCTTTTGCAATCAAAATTGTTTGTTAAATTTGACCCATGTCATTGTTAGTGTTCCTTCATCCTTTCTTCCTGCAACTTCTAGTTTATGAACTGATGTCGTCAATCTAGATATGAGACTGCTAGAATTTTGTGAATTACTTTTGTATGGTTTGTGGACACACGAAACGTCATGGAGGGTTGGTAAATATTAATACTATTGAGGTCAAGTTGGAGAGGTTTTAAAAATCCCTTGAATATTTAGTATATGTTTATTCAATCTGTTGAAATTAAGATTTAGCATGAATTTGATTGTTGAACTGTTTTATACTAACTTTACTTCTCAGCTCACTTATACTTCTTATGTTTAAAATATTCTGAAAATGGAGTTTATCCGCAACATACGCTGCTAGAAGTAAAGATGAATTACAAGGCCATCTGAAGATAAACAACTTAGCTCTTCACATTGCTATCATTCCCTAGTGTTTGAACTCAACTTCTTAGTCCAGATTACTCATGTATTTTGGTGTTCCTTCTTGAGTTACATGTAGATGATTTTTCCTTTCTTGGCAGGCAAAAGAGGCTGGTAGCACACGCTTTTGTATGGGTGCTGCATGGAGGGACACAATAGGAAGAAAGAGCAACTTCAATAATATCCTTGATTATGTAAAAGAAATAAGGTAATGAAACTTTACATTATCAGGTATCTGAATCAATAAGAAATGGATCCATTGAGTCTAAGCTAACTGTCAAGTCTTCTTTCTGCTTTATATATTAAGTACAAAGTGGAGTTTGATGGTTAAAAAATATGATAGAAAGATGATATGGCTGTGTGCTTCTGGAGTAGTCATTCACAACACAAGAATCATATAGTTGTTTGCTAGGGGCACTGGTTAGGAGTTAGAATTATATGGGGGACACGTAAGTGCTTCATTGTTTGGAAGAATGACTTGCGTCAGCAAACAGAAATATGCCGATGCCAGCAGGGCAATGCTATTCAGATACTGTTTGCTATGTGCATTGCAGGGGGTATCATTGTATTAAATATGCGAAAGATCATTTTCTGTTTACAAAAATGGTTTATTTCCATGCCATCAATGTGTGGATCATATCTAAATTCATAGTTGTTGATAGTGCATCATACAATATTGATATAGGAGACAAATAAAATAATATTAGGAGCATGAGCATGCTCTCACACACATGCGTGTGAAAGCTAAGATGGGGTGGGAGTTCTTTAATGCCAGCCATCCAAAGCTTTCTTTATGAATCCTAGTATTTTCAACTCAACTTCAACAAGTTGTTTAACTTGTTCTTTGGATATGTGTGATCCCATGAAAGTTCTTAATTGGGGATAAGAAGAAAGAAACAAATAAGGAAATAGAACTTAGAGGCAAAGAGGAAAAAAATGGAACCATGAAATCAGAGAAGGGGGAGAGAGAGATAGAATATGACTGAAGAAAACGAAGAAGAGCCAATCTGATGCATAATGGTTGGCTGGAAAAGTGAATTGAGCGACTGAGTGAGACATTGAGTTTAAAAATACCCTCAATTAGCCCCTTAAAATTGCCCATGTAGTATGCTTTGTTGCAGTACATAAAATGACAATTGTCAACGCAAAAAGCATGGCCCAAGTAGATGCAAAATTCAAACTTGTTAAACTCTCAAGCAGACTAGAGTTAATTGCAAATTTGAATATTTAAAACCTTAAGTTTAAAGGAGTCCAATTAGTGACTTAACTGTAGAGTTTGACAACAATAGTCCAAAGAAATTCATTCAAATCATTTCAAGACATTATTCAAGAAGATAGTAATCTTTTTTGTGTTAATTGGCATTTTGCCGTTGATCTTGTGTCTAGGGAAGCTTTGGGTCCTGTTATTAGTCTCGTTAGGAAAGCTGATGAGTTTACTAATGATCTTTGCAGCTTTGATCATAATCTACCTTTAGGTTTGGAGGCGATGAATGGTGATTGTTAAGTGTGAGGTTTTGTAAATTCCTTTGTATTCTCTTTGTTCATTTTGAAGGAAAGTTCTCCAGTTTTACATTTAAAAAAGAGAGAGAAATTCCTTCAAATGATGTTTACCAAAAGAGATGAACTTGGTAGTCCTGCTCCTTTGTACTATAAGTAGGCTATCTAAATTGCATGGATGCTATGAATGCTAATCTGGGCTTACTTTTAGAACAGTTTATTGTGCAGGACAAGATGGAATGGCGAGGAGAATATAACCAAAAAAGTAACTTTATAAGTGAAAAATGTCTTTTATGTCTCTTAATAAAAAATAATAATAAAAAAGTAAGATAGTTCTGACTACTAAGCATGGGCAACAATATCATAAACGTTACATATCTCATTACTTTTCCTTTGACACAACCAAACACTTATAAAGTTCTCGATTGGTGGCACTTAGGGAGTGATTAGTTAGTGAAACTTTTCTTTAGTTGTTATCATATTGGGAAAATTATTCCCAAGGACCAAATTCAGAAGTATTTTATTCCTAAGGGCCTCTAATGGTAAATACTCATGGTTCCACTTGTAAATTTGTGCTGTTTGAACAACAGATAGTGGTAAATATTGTTCGACTTGTAAATTTGTGCCATACAAGTGGTACATTTGGGGTCCACGGGAATAAATAGCATCTGCGTTTGATCCTTGGGAATAATTTTGCCTATTATTTTTATCTTGTTTTACTGTATCTCTGGAAGTTAGGTTTCCCCCACACCCCCCCCCCCGGGTAACCAAAATTAGGTTATTTTATGGTGAGAACTGAAGTGGAGTAGAAAGCTTCCCTTAAAAGTTAGCAACTGAAGTGGGAGAACGAACCCGCTTCAGTACTCTGTAGCATAGATAAAGGGACAGGACTGTGGCAAGTTTCTCCCTTCACTCCTGACATTTGCGTTGTCTGAATTGTGAATAATTTATGGCTTTGACAATTCTTATTTATCGTACTTTCTTGTTGTGTAACTTATATCATAATTATTTAATCAAAATTCAAAATGGTATTACTTGTTCTAGGGATATGGGAATGGAGGTTTGCTGCACCCTTGGTATGCTGGAGAAAGAGCAGGCTGTTGAACTCAAGAAGGCAGGGCTTACTGCCTATAATCATAATCTTGATACTTCACGGGAATATTATCCAAATATCATCACAACAAGGACTTATGATGAACGCTTGAAAACGCTTGAGTTTGTTCGTGATGCAGGGATTAATGTTTGTAGTGGTAAGGCCTAATAACATTAAATACAATTAATGTTGTTTGGTTGCAGAGGAATTGCCTCATCTTCAAGGGCATATCTTTGTCTTTAAATGCGTCATGGGATAGGATTGTGCATATGGCTCCCCTTTGTAACTCATTCAATGGGAAGTTTAAAATACGACAGTTTGAATGAGATACATACGCATGTCTTGTGTTTGTGTCAGTTCCTCATAGCTAACAAATAAGTTTCTCTTAACACTTCAGTTCTCACCAGTGGTTGCAAAAGGCTGCATCCTTTATTTGGATTTTATACTTTAACTCTTAATCTGGTTACGTGTCATTAAAATAATAGAACTTTTATTTTCTATGATAGGGACGCTATGTATCATCACATAGTAAAATGAGTAATCGAGGTTTCTTTACAGGAGGAATAATTGGGCTTGGAGAAGCAGAGGAGGACCGTGTAGGTTTGTTACATACATTGGCAACACTTCCCACTCATCCAGAAAGTGTTCCTATCAATGCACTTGTTGCAGTAAAAGGCACTCCTCTTCAGGAGCAGAAGGTGAATTTAACAACTTATTGATTGACTTGTTAATCTACAAAACTGTAAAAACACGAGTCACTATTTTAACAATTACTGAGGCACGTGATCAATGGAGCTTAATCTATAATGATATTCAATAATTTTTCATAGCAGCACCAAGGTGCAAGTTTGGAACTTCCTATTATGAAAATAACCTTTATTGGGATAGAGAGAGATACCTTGAAGATATTCTGGGCTTCTGAGCGTTTGAAATCAACTTAGAAATGTTGACGTATGCTGTAGTTTCAATAAAAAAACAAGCTAAAGCATCTGTCTGAGTTCAATTATTAAGGGTATGTTTGGATGGAAGACAATGAAGGAAAAACTTCATTAAAACCTCTCCCCTATCTGAGAGTTATCTAATGAAAGGAGTATTATGGAGCATTCTCAACTAACCCTCCAAATACATTCAAAACTCTCCCTCCTTTATAATACTAAATCGCCCTAATTTAGGGGATATTGAAGGAGAAAGCTTTCCAAACAGGGGAAGGGAAACATGGATTTCTTCCCCTCCATTTTCTTTGGATATTTACCCCTTTCTTCTCCTCATAACTGCCAAAACGTAATGGCAAGCTTAGGAGTTAGGAAGGAAGAAATCCAAAGAAAATGGAATGGAAGATGGAAGAGGAAGTTTTGCTTGAGTAATCATTTCACTTCCCCATGTTTAGGGGAATGTTCTTCTCAAAAATCTCCCTTGGGAATCTGATACCTCCAGCCGCCAGCCTTTTAGGGGAAAAAAATTGTCTTTAATATAAAGCACTTGATAAAATATTAATTATGTTTTTTTAATATTACCCTTATTTAAATTCATTAACTGTAAGAGAGAATATACTACAGTTTAAAAAAAAAAATTAGCCACGTAATTCCTTATCCATATGCTCCGGTTTACCTAATGGGTCATGTTCTAGTTTCCTTCGTTCTTAAATTTCTGTGCATGGCTGTTATTTGGTTTTTGTTTTTACTTCTTGTTCTTGTAACTTTTAGCCAAACTATACAGTTAGGCCCCCAGATAGTGTTCTGAGGGTCTTTTACTTTTGTAATCGTTTTATAATTAAAATATTTACTTTTATTCAAAAAAAATAATGCAAATTTAAAATTTTTCATTTAAATAGAAATAAAATTGAAAGTTTTTTATATTTTTAGACTGAGTTAATAACTTAATCATCTTTCTAAGGTACAAGGAAGGTAGTTAGAGGTTTCTTATAATAGAGGCTGGAAGGAGTATCTTATTCCCCCTTCTAAATTAATAACCTTAACAAAGAACATGTTTTGATGGAACCCTAATTCATGCACGCAATGGGTTTAACGTTGTGTTTGTCTTTTGGTCTTAGTAAGGCCCTTTGGGATATTAAATATCCAAATTCTTTTAAACCATACTTGAACTGGTGTTGTCATCAGAAGATGCCCTAAACTGGTCAGCTCACCCTTGAGAATCTGCTATTAGATGTGAATGTGACCTAGTTGACATGGCATTTCTATTTTGGTTTCAGCCTGTTGAAATATGGGAGATGATTCGCATGATTGCCACAGCGCGTATTGTTATGCCGAAAGCAATGGTGAGGTTGTCAGCAGGCAGAGTTCGGTTCTCCATGCCTGAGCAAGCACTGTGTTTTCTTGCTGGTGCCAATTCTATATTCACAGGAGAGAAGCTTCTCACCACACCTAACAATGATTTTGATGCTGATCAACTCATGTTCAAAGTTCTTGGACTCACTCCCAAAGCTCCCAGCTTTCATGAAGATGAAACCAGTGAGATAGATAATTGTAAGGAAGCTGTCTCCTCCTAGTTGAGTTTAAGGACAATCTAAGACGATACATACATAAAAAAAATTCTTACCACGTCCAATTATGCTGCTCATAACTTCTTCTCTGGTGTTTGGATTGCGCAGCTTGGGAGAGATTCTTTCTCAAGCATTTAAACTTATCTCATTGGCAAAACAATCTCTTGTTTGGATTGTGAGAAAGCAATTTCCTCCAAGTCAAATTAGCTTATGGTTAACCGTACTGGCGTACGTCTTAAGATGCATTGGATTCTCTTTTTCTCTCTTGTCTTGTTTCTTTTTTAAGGCTTTTTCGGGTCAATATTTGTTCTTGAAGATGTGGCTGAAGTCAGGTGTCAGAATGATTATTAAAGCACATGCCCGGGGCTAGTTCTAATAATAATGTTGCCATGAGATGTGGCGATTAGAGTTTTTTTTTTTTTTTTTGAGATAACAAAAACCTTTTTCAAGATTTAATTGCTCTAAACGATTTTAAAATTCTTATTTTTATTTAACCTTCAATGTCCAAAAAACTTTTTTAAAAAGAAAGATTTTCTTGCTTTTTTGATTAATTGTTGGCCTTCCTACCAAGATATAGAAGGGCATTTTATTAACTTGAGAAAATGGTACAGGCACTAAAGATTACGTCCCAAGTCTGTGTAATTAACTTTAGTCATTAAATCAGTTAAAGTGTTAATTTAAAAATTAATAGTTAAAATTATAATTAAATCATAATCAAACTAGTTATAAATAAAAAAAATTTATTAAACTGATTAAGGCAATGAACTACCAGTTTAGAACTATTTGCTCCGAATCTCCTCACTATGCTGTTAATGAATTATCATTCCAGCGCACGCAAAGTTTTCGGGTTAAAGCTATCAATATAAATAATTATTTTAGGATTTGTCTTTTCCTGTCATTAATTTTTGTTTGTTTTTTTTTTTTTGACCTCATGTCTAATCAATTAGTGACTTTAGGGTTTTTAATCTTTATTTATTCATCTTCCCATATAATTACAACTTTTTAGTACAACATAATGGAAAAAATTGTATTTATAATTTTTTACAATATCATAATAATCCTAATAATATTTTAAAAAACAATAAAAAATTTATAATTTTTGACCAATTTTTAAATATTGATATTTATATCAATATTTTATTGGGGCTTTGCTTGATGTCATTGTATACGTCAGAAAGGGGACGTCAGTGGGTGGTACCTCGCTCATAATAAATTAGGAAGGTAAGTAAAAGAACACAAATTATAAAACAAAAGACATCAAATCAAATCAAAGAGAGATTTGGAAGTAACTGTGGGGAAGGAAGACGAGTCAAAGCAAAAACAAATGCTTCAAAAATTAATTAATAAAATTAAAATTAAAAAAGTGAATGAATTGTAAGAATCTATTTGGCCCTCACTTGCTTTTGATGTTGTCAAAGTAAAGTGTAGCTATCAGCATCAAACAAACCTTCACTGTCATAGCCGCCCAACTTTCTTTTGTTTTCTTTTGAGTCTTCATCATATCATAATCTCTGTCCCTTTCCTCTATTAGTCACCCTTTTGATTTTCAATTTTTCACCATACCCTCTTTCTTCCCTTCTTTTCTCTTCTTATTTTTTTTTTTCTCTTTTTTAAAGTTAGAAATGCAATATTCAAAAATCCGTTTGGCATTTTGGATATTAGTTTAGATGCTCAAAACGCAATTTTGCAAATTCAGCTTTCATTGCATGCTTCTTTTTCTTTTGGTGTTCTTAAAAGCTATTCTTCAACTGAAAACAATAATATTTAAAGTATTATCAGACATTAAATATAAATATATTTTTAATTTAAATTTAAATTTAAATTTATCAAGTTGTAAGCAATTAAACTCTTTCACTAAAACCAATCCCCACTAGTTTTTTATTAAATACTTCATCCCACTGTTCAGTTTCATTTGCATTATTTGTACCTCCATTAATAAATTAAAGACAAACTAGACTCTTATAAGCTCAACTTTTAAAGGACTTAAACCCATAAACTCATATATTCTAAATTGATCATATTTTTTAAGTTCAGCATATATTGATAGGGCAAGGCTCAAAAACCCACATGATTTAGAAATTGTCATTTATGTATATTAATTCAAAAATAAAAATAAACCAAACATTTTCACTCATATTATTTTGCAATATTAACAATTTCAATCAAACAATTTTCAACAATGTCATCCACATATTAATTGATAAAAAAGAAAAGAAAAGAATACAAGACCTAAAAGAACTTCCTGAATTCAGATGGCTTATAAGGTGCAGGCTTAAATGCTTTTTTATGCAAAAAATTCTTCTTTTCTTTTTTTTCTCAAGTCCCACCTTAAAAAATACAAACACGACGTTATGATAAGCAAAGAGTATATCCATGAATTATAATAAATATTATAATTTTGACCGGGGAAAAAATATATATATATTTATATTTATATATATATATATATGTATATATAAAATAAGAAAATCTTGCTTTCGAAGCTATACACAGGGACATGGTTTAGTTTAAATTGAGAAACACTTTAAAACTTTTAATTTTATTTTCATGATTACTTTCATCTTTTTTCACATTTTATTCCATTTTGATTTGGCTTTTCAAATTTATTTTCTTTGCCGTCTTTTTTTTTTTTTTTTGCCAAAAATTTCAAGTTTCATCTTTAATTAAATTCAGTGTTCCCCTAAATTGTACTTTTATTCTTAAATTTTACGTTGTTTCTAGTTGTAATTTTTAGCCATATCTTCTGTATTACATATTTCTTTAAAGATAAAATTAAAGCTAATAAACTGAGGATCAAAAATATAATTAAATTGGAAAATAAAATAGAAGGAGCAACCAAGTGAAACAAGCTATTCGTAGAATATTTCCCGACTCACATCAAGATATATCCTCTGTTCCTCAAACTTTAATTTTTTTCCCCCAAGTCTAGACTTGTTATGTAAAAAGCATAGAATTTCTGTATCAATTTTCACATGTTCAAGCTACATTACAGCTTATTTTTCAGTGAATTGACCTAAGCCAGTATTTTTCCTTGTTCCACCTGAACCTTAGGCCAACTTGCCCAACATGATTGTTGGTTCCTAAACGAGTGTCATGTTGGAAAATTACAATGAATTTTAATGGTTTCCTTCCTAGTAAAATCAAACATACTGTAAAAAACACAACAATTAATGAGTTTAGGCCAAAAGAACACCTTCAGAAAGCAATATATTAATGAATTTTCAAGCTTGAAAGTCACTGAACAATCCTAATGCTTTCGTTTACATACAAACGATCTCAACTAATACAGGAGATCAATTCCCTTTAAATAATGTCCAGTATAAAGAACACCAATGTAAACAACAAAGCAAGAATTATATTAAATGACGACAACATTAGGACAAAGAATAGACAGAACCTCCCTTTATACAGAGATATTGATATGAGACGAATTCTGATTTACAGGGCTATATGAATATATATTATATGCATGATATATTATATATATACTTATAGCATCTGTACCCTCCTATCCACATTATATGATGAATATGAAGCAGCAAGCAATGCTGCTCCAATGCCTGATCCATCTTCAGTGACCTTAAGAATTATGTGCTTTGCAATATCTTCACCCAATATATCATTCAAACCTTCATGCAAATACTCCCTAAATAATGTATAGCTAGTATACAAACCTCCTTCAATTGCCACAACTGATCTTCTGATTTTCGATTCACTTTTGCTCCGGAAACCGGTGATGCCACCACTGCCATCCCGACCAATCTTTTTCAAGATACCGACAATACCTGCAGCTGCCAAACGTGCAGCTCTACAGGTTACCACATCACAAACCTTAACCATGACTTTCCGCAACTTGAGAGGAACATAGGGAATCTGAAACAATCCAATCAAATCCACCCCCATGAATAATAATTAGACTTTGAAGAAAGTCACGCATTTTGGTCCATAAAGGAGGCGTTTTTACCTCGAGGATTTCTCTAAGGATTCTTGCCACTTCTCTCAAGTCCGGGGAATCATCCTCATGCATAGCAGCCATCATAGGAGTCCTGATATAGCACCACGATATAGTTGAGGCTTGAATCAAGATCAGAGATGTCAAGAGAGAGGAATTGATCTTATAACGTTTAGAAATGAAACGGCAAAATATTTCGCTTCCATATATCACCTCAGCCTAAAGTCAACGGTTAAAATATAAATTGTCTGCCCATTGGCATGCTTAGTTCACAATTTCATCACACGACATTATGACAAGACCATAACCACAAAATTACCGACAGTGTATTTCAGACATGCCATACAGGAACTAGGATCGCCATAACAACTTGATAAGGCTTGAACAAAAACGAGAGCCAAACTAATAGGGGCCTATAAGCATGCAGCCAATGGAAAACAAATCCTCTCCAAATCCACCTATTTTCATAAATACATCACTGTCCCAGGGCAACTAGTGGATATTTGCCCCTTTGAGTACCCCAAGACTAATAGGGTCATCTTAATTAGATAATAGAATCTCTTATCTAAAAACGAATCTATTTACGCCACGGTGCGTCATTGCCATATAGTACAAACCTCAAAATGAAAGGCATTGAGAGCTTGGAAGAAACTGGTCCAAACATATTTGACTCTAGCAATATCCTGAGGATAATCCTCCTCACAATATCACCAAGATACATTCCTGATATCATTTTCTCAAAACCCTGCACCAAAATCACAAATTCTAGTCATGTTATATCACAAAACTAGGTAATAAAGAAACAAAAATTTAACCTGGTCATTTGGATTGGGGCTCTCAGCATCCAAATCAATGTCATAAGAAGTTCTTGGCAAGTGAGAAGACCAAAAATTTCCCCATTCCATATTGACAACCTGACAAACAGAAAGATTTTACAAAAGTTCTAAAATAACTCAGTGAAATAATGCAGTAAGAAAAGGGGGGAAAAGGGTTATGCATTCATATATCACCCACAGAAGAATTATGCATTCATATGTTACCAAGAGGGGGGAAGTGTTACCATGCAACCAGATGTAATAAGAAGACCCTGACACTTGATGAGAGCATCTGCTCGTTCCACATAACATGCATTTGTACCAGTGCCAATAATAATTGCAGCAACAGTATCTACATCATGATAATGCCCAAGTGCTAATGTCCCAACAGTATCATTAACCTGTTTAAAATGAACATATTATCATGTTTACAAAGTCTGTAATACGATGAACATTTGACATGAACCTAAATGGCACAATGCTTCAAAAGTGAG